AGTTAATAAAAGTTTAAAAAGAAAACAATTCAACCTGATAGAAAACATTATCAATGGTAAATAAATGATATGTAGACTTTTTTTATTAACAAATATGTTAAGTTAATATAACAGAACTTGCTTCTGATATTATTAATGAAGAGATAAATAAAAACATAACCAAAACGAGTTTATTTTCATTTTAAATTATTTAATTAATTCAAAATTGAATTATTTAGATTCTTAGCTTACTTAAATCAATGACAACTCGTCTATATGGTCAATTGTTACAACCATTTTATAGTATTGATTTAAAAATGACAAAACCTGATGGGTAAGTTCTTTTAGAATAAATTTCAAATATTATTTTTATTATTTGAAGACTAAAATCTAACCAATGGATTAAATCTGAATCCTGTTCGTTGATTACTTCTATTTACTATTGCTCGCGTTCTTCGTCTTGTACATGATGTTCGATTATTAGCGAAACCAAAACAATCTAAAGAATATGCTAGAGTAGTTTGGACAACAATGTTAATAGTATTATCTAAAATATTTATTTGAAAAAAAAATCGTCTCTATTTTTTTTAGAAAATGATTGCTCATGAAAAAGATGCCGATAAAGCAAATATTGTTTTAACTATCGATAATCAACGTGTAGTTTACAAGCTCTCTTTGATGACATTATTTACTTGGGCATTGAGGTAAATTAGTTTTCCTATCGAACAACATCAAATTTTCGTTATTTTCTAGTCAAATGAAGTTTTACTATATTTATTTTAATCAAATCGTATTCATACGGATTCCGGTATGTCTACCATCGTCGGTACTTATCTATTAACATTATTTAAACATCAAATAATCAGTTGGCTTAGTACTACTCTTCATCTTATTACGAATAATATCGATGAAATAAAAATTATTGATCAATGTCAATCGATTGTTTCTTTTCTTACTATTCTTCTTGGTTAATGTAGTCGCGAAAAAGACCTTTGTCAACACTATGGTAGACAATATATTGATGGTATATATAGATGTTGTCAATTATTTTCATTGTAATCACGTTCAATAAATCTTGATGATAAATTCTAAATAGTTACATTATTAACAAAAACATTTATTATCGATAGTCGTTTATTAATATCTGATGAAGAATTTGATTATATATTTCAAATGTATTTATCATTATTAATTGATAAACAATTAAATTTTACATTTAAAATATGTTTATTTGATTTATTACTATTCGTCGCTTCACTTTATACAGATGATAATCTATCTGAAGAAAAACATAAAAAAATGGTTCGATCATCTTTATCGAACAATGCATACATTTACTAATGATTGATTTTTATTAAACAAGTACACAATTTTATTATGATACACAAGAATATCATGATTATCAAAGTGCATTAAGAAATATTTTATCTACACTTGAATTATCATCATCATTTATATTATTTTAATTATTAATATCGATGTTATGTTGTGAACAACATCATATATTTGAAAATGATATAATTACTTTCATAAATAAATCGTTTTATATTATTAAATTAAATTTACTTGAATATATTTCTAATATTTAATATGGTAAATATCCATTATTTCGTGTTGAACATCGTTTAAATGCATTAGAAATATTTTTATTATAAATGCTAACATTAGCTAAAAAACAAAATTAATTGACTTTTATAAAAAAATCTATATATCATCATTTGTTATTGAACAACTTGATATTCAAATTGATTTAACATCAACATCAACAACAAAAACATCAATATTAATAAATAGAATTTTTACATATCGTTGTATTGATTATAAGTATAGAATATTAAATAAAGATGATGTTTTTCGTTTGAATTCTTCAATTGCAATTATTTTTTATGAAACAATTTAAAAAAATAAGAAGAAGCAAGAAAATTATTAAATTTTGAAATGCCAATAACAGCTATTAAAAATAGGTTCAACTATCGATGGAAAACAATTAACAAAATATGTTATAGCTCGAGCTCGTGCACAATTTATTGATGAAAAAATAATTAAATCAACGAAAATGATGTTAACGAATGTAACAACAGTAGAAAAAGAAATTAAAATGAATTTAATTCATTCATTATCAATGAGTTGATTTAATTGTCTTATTTCAGTATTAATTTGTACACAAACAGAAACTAAACTTTATAAAGCTTTTATTTTTTATGCTAATGCATCAAAAGTAAATTAAAAATAGTTTTCAATTCTATTTGAAAATCAACGTTTATAAATAATGAGAGAAACATGATACTTACTTCGTCAAGTAGATAAATAATTTGTTCATCAGCTAGCGAATTAAACCTATATTCAATTAACCTTTTCAATAGCGACATATTTTATAAAGTACAGTTTTTCAACTTTCTTAATATTTGAATAGCTCGGAGGGGAAGTTAGAGCCCATTGGATCCGGCTCTGGCTCCAGAAATTTTTCGACCCGATGGGCTGTAGTGGGAGTCGAGGTAATAGGAAGAAATACATCTACATCCAAGCTCACGTTCAGTTTTCTTTTATTTTTTCAAGAAATATTTTGTTTTGGATTCTACCAATTGAATGTTATTATCGAAATAATTTCTTTATTTATTTTATAGGACGAATATATCTTTGAAAACATAATTGATCCAGATCATAAATATACAT